TTGAGATGTTTCTCATTCTTTGCATTCTGACAAGCCGCTGATCTCATCCATACCCATGACTAATGGCTCAGCCAGTCACGTGGTCCCCACCTAGAGTCAGATTCAACTACACACAGATCATTTCCCTCTGCTCCCGTGATTCCATCCCCAAACAATCAGCAGTACCGATTTTTTAGTCCTGTGCCTCTGAAACTATCCTTGAATATCTCTGTCTAATGTTGACAGCTGGTACCATTCCTTCTGAAACTATTCCAATCAATAGAAAGAGGGAATCCTCCCTGATTCATTTTATGAGGCCAGCATCATCCTGATACCAAAGCCTGGCAGAGACACAACATAAAAAGAGAATTTTAGACCAATACCCCTGATGAACATCGATGCAAAACTCCTCAATAAAATACTGACAAACCGAATCTAGCAGCACATCAAAAAGCTTATCCACCATGATCAAGTGGGCTTCATCCCTGGGATGCAAGGCTGGTTCAACCTACACAAATCAATAAATGTAATCCAGCATATAAACAGAATCAAAGACAAAAATCACATGACTATCTCGATAGATGAAGATAAGGCCTTGGACAAAATTCAAAAGTTCTTCATGCTAAAAACTTTCAATAAATTCTGTATTGATGGAACGTATCTCAAAATAATAAGAACTATTTGTAACAAACCCACAACCAATATCATACTGAATGGGCAAATACTGGAAGCATTCCCTTTGAAAACTGGCACAAAACAGGGATGCCCTCTCTCCCCACTCCTATTCAACATAGTGTTGGAAGTTCTGGCTAGGGCAATCAGGCAAGAGAAAGAAATCAAGGGTATTCAGTTAGGAAAGGAAGAAGTCAAATTGTCCCTGTTTGTAGATGACATGATTGTATATTTAGAAAACCCCATTGTCTCAGCCCAAAATCTCCTTAAGCTGATAAGAAACTTCAGCAAAGTCTCTGGACACAAAATTAATGTGCAAAAATCACAAGCATTCTTATACACCAGTAACAGACAAACAGAGAGCCAAATCATGAATGAACTTCCATTCACAATTGCTTCAAAGAGAATAAAATACCTAGGAATCCAACTTACAAGGGATGTGAAGGACCTCTTCAAGGAGAACTACAAACCACTGCTCAGTGAAATAAAAGAGGACACAAACAAATGGAAAAACATACCATGCTCATGGATAGGAAGAATCAACATCGTGAAAATGGCCATACTGCCCAAGGTCATTTATAGATTCAATGCCATCCCCATCAAGCTACCAATGAGTTTCTTCACAGAATTGGAAAAAACTACTTTAAAGTTCATATGGAACCAAAAAAGAGCCTGCACTGCAAAGACAATCCTAGTCAAAAGAACAAAGCTGGAGGCATCACTCTACCTGACTTCAAACTATACTACATGGCTACAGTAACCAAAACATCATGGTACTGGTACCAAAACAGAGATATAGAGCAATGGAACAGAACAGATCCCTCAGAAATACTACCACACATCTACAGCCATCTGAACTTTGACAAACCTGACAAAAACAAGAAATGGGGAAAGGATTCCCTATTTAATAAATGGTGCTGGGAAAATTGGCTAGCCATAAGAAGAAAGCTGAAACTAAATCCTTTCCTTACTCCTTATATCAAAATTAATTCAAGATGGATTAGAGATATAAATGTTAGACCAAATACCATAAAAATCCTAGAAGAAAACCAAGTACTACCATTCAGGACATAGGCATCGGCTAAGACTTCATGACTAAAACACCAAAAGCAAAGGCAACAAAAGCCAAAATTGACAAATGGGATCTAATTACACTAAAGAACTTCTGCACAGCAAGAGAAACTATCATCAGAGTGAACAGGTAACCTACAGAATGGGAAAACATTTTTGCAATCTACTCATCTGACAAAGAGTTAATATCCAACACCTACAAAGAACTCAAACAAATTTACAATAAAAAGACAAACAACCCCATCAAAAAGTGGGCAAAGGATATGAACAGACATTTCTCAAAAGAAGACATTCATACAGCCAACAGACACATGAGAAAATGCTCGTCATCACTGGCCATCAGAGAATGCAAATCAAAACCACAATGAGATACTATCTCACACCAGTTAGAATGGCAATCATTAAAAAGTCAGGAAACAACAAGTGCTGGAGAAGATGTGGAGAAATAGGAACATTTTTACACTGTTGGTGGGATTGTAAACTAGTTCAACCATTGTGGAAAACAGTATGGCGATTCCTCAAGGATCTAGAACTAGAAATACCATATGACTCAGCCATCCCATTACTGGGTATATACCCAAAGGATTCTAAATCATGCTGCTATAAAGACACACGCACACGTATGCTTATTGCGCAACTATTCACAATAGCAAAGACTTGGAATCAACCCAAATGTCCATCAGTGACAGACTGCATTAAGAAAATTTGGCACATATACACCATGGAATACTATGTAGCCATAAAAAAGGATGAGTTCGTGTGCTTTATAGGGACATGGATGCAGCTGGAAACCATCATTCTCAGCAAACTATCGCAAGAACAGAAAACCAAACACCGTGTATTCTTACTCATAGGTGGGAATTGAACAATAAGATCACTTGGACACGGGAAGGGGAACATCACACACGGGGGCCTATTATAGGGAGGGGTTGGGGGTGGGGTTGCAATGACAGTTATACCTGATGTAAATGACGAGTTGATGGGTGCTGATGAGTTGATGGGTGCAGCACACTAACATGGCAAATATATACATATGTAACAAACCTGCACGTTGTGCACATGTACCCTAGAACTTAAAGTATATTTTTTAAAAAAAAATTTTAATTAAAAAAGGAAAAAGTCTCTAACCCCTGATCCACTAGGGAGGCTGATTTGAGTAATAATATACCTCCGTCCTCCTATTTGGCAGACTTGGAGTCATTAAAATATTTCTTTACTGCAAATCACCATCTGGATAAATTGGTTTTGTTTGTGCAGGAGGCCAGAAGACCTTGTCTGGGAATTTTAAGAATGGATGGAGGAGCTGCCTATCCCTGTCCCACAGTCTTGTGCACAGATCAGCCTCACAACAGGAAAGAGCCCTGGATGGGGATACAGTGGAAGTTTATTCTCTTAGTGACTTGGGGACATTACCTCGAGATGAAGCCTGGTAGGAGTGGAAACTCCAGGTCATTTCTATGCCTTTCCTATTACCTGGGAGGTGGACCATTCCACAGTGTTAGCAGGAAGGAAATAGAAGGCAGCCTAGCTAGAGGGAGTGTCTGGGGAAGGCCTAGGGGTGGAGGAAGAAGCTGTGCAGGGCAGGGCTTGCCAGTTAGAATGAAGTGGGAGGTAGATGAAGGACACAGAGAAGCAGAGAGAGGCAGAGACAACCTGGCAGTGAACAGTGGGGCCTACAGTGACTTCAGAGACCCCAGGGACCAGGTGCCCCCATTTCCACAGTCCAGGACCAGGGAGCCCTGAAAATCCTCCAGTGGCCAAAGGGTTTCGACTTACATGAGGTGGGGTGTCTTTAGGGGCAAGAGGTAGTGGGGGGATGAAAGATGGGTGTCAGCCACCGAAGGACAAGGGAAAGGTGTGGCCTAGACCTCCTAGGATTCTGCATCTGAGATCCAGTCTCTAAAGAGGTTATGGATCATTCATCTCTTCATTCAATTCCTTCATTTGTTATGTGAGAGCACCTGAGTGTGTGTCTCTCACTGGGCCCGTGATGGTGCAGGGTGTGAGTGGGGAAAGAAAACAAGGTCCTGTCCTTTGTCCGGTAAGCCAGTGACATGGACACTTTGGGAAACAGGATTTCAGGTTCAGTGATAGGGGTTAAGATCTGAGGGGGACGCCTGGACATATTTTGCACTGACTCTGACAGTTGAGGCAGGTGATTTAGTTCGAAGTACAGACTAATCAGCTGACCATTTGTTCTCACTCCTCTGAGGTTTGGATGCCTAAGAAGAGAGGATTTGAGCCAATAAATGACTATGGGGTCGTTGGAACCCAGTAATCCCTCACTTCTGGTGGAGGAGAGGATGGGCCTGTGGCTGCAGACAGACCTCATGTGACCCTGATCTGCCTTTTGTGTTTGTGTGACTCTGGTTCAGTGACTGTGCCTTCCTGTGCCTCAGTTTTCTCTCAGTCAAATAAGCTAAATGGCAAATGGACTGTGGCTTTTCATGCTATCTGTGAATAAATTGTAAATTCTTCACAGTCACCTGACCTAATGCTTGGCACAGTGGAGGTATTCACACAAACAGCATTTATTATTATTCACTTCCATGAGAGAGCACCTTTAGGTCAGATCCCTGTGGACAAGCTGCTGCCAGGTACATTTTCTCTCTTCTGCTTCTGCTTCGGGGATATTAGACTTTCTATGTAGTGTCCTAAGCCTCACAAGGCAGTTGACTGATGGCCTACAAAGCTTGTCTTTCTGTCCTCTCCACTCTGAGTGTCAGGTGAAGAAAGCTCTGTGTTTGCCCAGATGAGGCTCTGAGGGCTGAGCCCTGGCAGTGAGCAGCTCCAGGAGACACAGTCCTCAGACAGCTGGTGAATCCTTGGTCCCAGTAAGCCCTGCCACAACCCAGCCCTGGCACAGGCTCCTCAGCTTTATCTGGAGTAAGGATTTGGGGACAGCGGTCTGGGGTTGAGGTCTCTAGGGCTGAGCTTTTCTGAGAGTATCTCAAGGGGCCTCTTAGGCAAAGCCCTACTCAGTTCTCCAGGGTCTTTCTCAGGGTCAAGTTTATGAAGAGGACATGAGGTGCTTGGCTGAGACTGATCTCGTCCTGCTGAGCACCCCCCCCATCAGACTGTCCTTCCTGTGCAGCAAGTGTCTGCAGGGTCTGGAGGCAGGAAAGGAATTCTGATCTGTTGAGGTTTGTCTCCTCTGTGTGTGTCCTGCACTAAATGCCAAAACCCCAACATGGGACATAATGCAGAGAGGGACACAGGCACCGTCCAGGCCTGACCTTCCTGTGTGTGCAAAGTAGAAGCGACCCCCACCCCCCAACACCCAGGGATCATGTGGAATCACTCACGATATAAGGTGAAATGTCCAGTTACTCCTTTAGTCTCATCACCTCGCTTTGTGATTTGAATGGTGTAGGATCCTGTGTCATTCTTGGTGACATTCTGGATCAGCAGGGATGCATTGGAATATACTGTTTCTCGTCCACTGTATGCAGGCCCAAATACAATCATTTCAGTGTCTATTGTATATGCTGTAATGTAATGCTGGAGGTCTATTATTTGCCCTTTGTACCAGCTGTAGCCAGTAAGATTCTGGGGCAAATTGTGGACAAGTAGAAGAACATCCTTCCCCTCAGAAACTTTGGCTGGCTGTGCTTCAATCGTGACTTGGGCAGTGGTGGGCGGGTTCCAGAAGATTAAAAGTGATGCTAGGAGGTGGAGAGAGCATCAGTCAATATTGAGACCTATGAATTGGGATGAAAAGATGGGGCCTTGGGTCCTGAGAAGATCTCTTCAATCATCAGCCTTGTAGACACACACACACACGTACACACAAAAAACACACACAAACACACACACCCCTTTTTGTGTGTACGTGTGTGTGTGTGTTTTTGTCCTACTGTCCTACTGGGTCAAGGTCAGCAGCACGACCCCCATTCATCCAACACTTCTGACCTCGGCATTTTTCTCTTTAAAATCCTCTTCCCCAGGGGTCTGCATGGCTCCCTCCACACTGCCCTCAGGTCCTGCTCACATCAGGGCATCCTTAGACTTCTTTCCTGACACCTCCTTCACAGACCCTGGGTCTTCCCTTTCTGACCTTTCCCTTCTCTGCTCCCTCTGGAGCTCTTGTCAACACCTGACCTCACATTCTAGATCTCTTTGCATGTCTGCCTTCCTGCCCATGAGAGCATGAGCTCCATGAGGACAGGGACGTTAGTGATCTTGGTTACACCCCAGCGCCTGGGACAGGCTACAGACTCCTGCAGATGTGAGGGTTCCCAGGGACCTCCAAGCCAGGGATTTTTTTTCTCTTTCCCCAATTGTTCAGGTTTTTTGCTGAGGACAGTGTTTCATGTCCTGCTTATATTTTCATCTGAAGTGTCATCTGATAATAGTTATTATTATCATTTTTCAAAATATGGTGGCCAGTGATGCTAAACCAGGAGAACAGAACACTTGAGATTTTCCTACCTATTACCAGTTCCACTTAAATGTGATTTTCCTGTTGTGACCCTGTCCCTCTCTGGTATATTTTCCCCAATCCAGGCTCCAACAGAGCCTTCTTTCCTTTATTTATTTGTTTTTTTTTTTCTTTTTGAGACGGAGTCTCATACTGTCTCCCAGGCTGGCATGCAGTGGCGCCATCTCGGCTCACTGCAACCTCTGCCTCCCAGATTCATACAATTCTCCTGCCTCAGCCTCCTGAGTAGCTAGGATTACAGGAGGACACCACCACACCTGGTTAATTTTTTCTGTTTTTAGTAGAGACGGGGCTTCACTGTGTTGATCAGACTGGTCTTGAACTCTTGACCTCATGATCCATCCACCTCAGCCTCCCAAAGTGCTGGCTTATTTTATTTTTTAGAACTCCATCCTCTCCAGGAGACCCCATCCAATCATTCTGCTTCCTCCTCCTGTCCTCTCCCAGGAAGTTCTCTCCTCACCTGTGAGTAGAAGCTCCTTCCAGGTGATGTGCAGTGTGTAGGGAGGCACTGAGAGGGGCCCCATGGCCTCTTCTGCCTGTGTGTTCTCCTCTGTGGAGATGACCTTGGATCCAAAATCTTTCCGAGCACAGCTGTCAGCTGTGCTGTCCTTCCTCCTTCTGTGCTGAGCCTCTTCCCGGGGCAGGAGCACTTCTCAGGCTTATGGGCGGGGTCTGAGCCCAGGACACCTCTCTATCCCCTCCCCTCTCAGTCCTGCCTCTTTGTCCCTCCTTCTCTTTTTCCTTTTGTCTGTGTGTCAAGTCCCTGGGAATTGTGGAGGCCTCTACGTTTTTCAGCAGTGATTTTGTCACCAAACCTCAGTACACACTATGTGCAAAACAACAAACATACACAAAAAAGAGGCGCGCACAGACACACAGAGTCACATATCCTGTAGGTTGGGCAAGCACAGTTCTAGTCCTCAGCCTCCTGCTGACCCAGTGGCTCTGGGTCGGAGTGTACATTCACACCCCTTGCCCTCTTTCATCCCCATCTGGCTCTCCCCTTCAGTGCAGGAGGCTGGAGCTGCATCAGGTCCCTGTTATAGGGACACCACATTGTGCTGTGGGTGAGCTGTGTGTTGCCTGGTGACAGGGACCCTTCCTTTCTCTAATTGTGTCTAGCTTGGCTGCAACTTCCAAGGATGGACATTCATGACCTGGGTGTCCCAGAGGAAACTGTCCTTCCTGGAGGTGTGCAGGGTGAATCTCTCTGCCTCTTGGGAGGAGAGGCCTGTGCTGGTTGCTCAGTGGGGGCTGTGACTCCCATAGTCAAAGGGACAGTTCTCAGTCACTCTATTGCTCCCTTAGGACTGGTGGATGGGTTTCTCATCTCTTCCTGACTATCTTTGGTGTCCTCTCTTCCCTGCCGTCTGATTGTCCTGTGGTCACCACACCTTCCCCGTGGTGGTGCAGGAGGAAGTGGGACGTTACCCAGGAACCCCGTGGAACATGGCTGGTTGAGATGCAGGAAGGGGAGACTGGGACAGAGCAGGGGTTCAGAGCTGGAGAGATTCATCCCGACTTCCTCCGTGGCCGTGATGGGCTCAGCCCTCCATGTGCTGACATCCCCAGGGGTCTCTCCTGAGGGTTTTCACCTGGCCAAGATGCTCTCTGTAGAGGAGGAACAGGGCAGTCACCAGAGAGCCTCTCTGGAGGGACGTCGCTCACACCTGAGAAGGCGGGTGGGGGTGGGTTTTGTTCTCGGAGCCAAGAGCAATAATACCCCCTTCTCCCGGCAGGGACACAGTAGAGGTCTGCTTCCCAAGGGACAGTGGGGGGTAGGTGGCCACATCCTATGTGGTGCCTGTGTGTAACCATCACACGTGCTATGGGCCCCACGAGGTGCAGCGGGCAAGCAGGTCACAGGGTGCCTGACCGATTCCCGGGGAGGCTGTGGGCCCTCAGGCAGCCGCTGTTCTGTGTCAGCGCTAGGCTTGGCCTGGGATGCCCCACAGAACAGGACAGATGGAGCGTGGGCGGGCATTTAGGGAGCAGTGACAGAAAGAGTTGATGAGGATGGAGGGAGGTCACGAGGGGAAAGCGCGCAGTGGGGTGTCCCGTGCACCAGCGCTGCCCTGGGAGATGTCTTTTTAACTGAGCCCAGGGAAGGAGCAGGTGTGGGGCAGGAGCTGCCTGCAGAGGGAGTGGTGTTAGGTTGGCGACCACCAGGTCAGGGAGGAGCTGACACAGTCCGTGTGGGGAGCATGGAGGACGTTGAGGACTTGGGCCGAGGTGACCCTGGTGAGGGTGGACCCTGCTTGGCTACAGGTTCTGCTGAGGGAGGTCGGCATCCCCTGGGAAGGCTCCAGGCTGGAGGGACTCTGCCGCCCTCTGGTGGACTGGAAGGGAAGCGTGGGTGGCCAAAGTCCCAGGCCAGGCTGCGTGTTTTATTCCACAAGGATCTGCACGTTTCAAACGAGGTCACACATATGTTATGTTACAGCTCCATCACCTTCCAGTCCTGTGAGTCCCAATCTCTGTGGCTCCACGTTCACTGTTCTCACTCTTTCACGATCGGATGTCCGGAACACCGATTTTTGTCACCTTCAGTGAGTTTGTGTTTGTGTGCAGTAGGCGGCACTGTGTATTCTCTGGGGGCAGTGATGTCTGGGGCTGAGCACTGCACATGGGCTTGGGAGCAGAAGACGGAGCAGCAGGGCGGGAGGATCACTGCCAGGGAAGTAGGGACAAGTCATTTTCATTTTCTCACTTCCAGGGACCAGAACCCAGGATTCTGACTCCAGGGCACAGTACCACACCCTGCTGGTGTCCCTGGATGTCATGAGTGCTCATAGTGTCATGTTGCCTTGGCATTCATTTTTTAAGCTGTAAATTTATTTGCCTCACATCAGAGGCAGGCCTTGCTCACCATGGCAGTTTTCAATACTGTATCTGGTTCAAGTGACTGCAGTTGGTGGCCAGCGATAAAATCTAAGAGGCATCTCTCCTGCTTGGTGTGCTGGGCTCCTCTCTCTCCATCTGATTTCTTTAAACTGATATTCTGACATTTGTCCTTACATTTAAAGAGACCACTTCTCAATCACAGCGTGATCTCCTGGTCCCAGTGTTTGCTACTTGCTTTAAACACATCCATTAAAGCTCCCTGCTGGAAACCTGTCAGATAACACCTGGATTTACTAAACACATTGGCTTACCGTTCTCTTCTCTCCTCCCTGCCTGGGCTTGCTGACCTCTGTATCTGTGGTCTCCAGGTGTGCTGAGTGCTCCCCAGTGTCTCTAAGTAGTAAAAACACTTACACTTTCACGTTGTGGTTGTATCATTATAGCCTCACATGCCGTCCAGGGCCTGACATCGAGGCTGCCCTGTGGGACCTGTGCTCGTTGAGCCTCTGCTGGAGCTCTTGTTTTGGGACCTGCAGTTCTTCTGGGGACAGGAGCTTCCAGTTAACTTGATTGAAAAACTGATACGTTTCATTGAAAACACTGGGTCAGATGATGTATTCATGGGCTTCAGCTGCCATAACAAACACCTTAGCCTGGGTGAATTAAATAATAGAAATCGATTTTGCACAGTTCTGTGAATAATGTGCTATTTTAACCACTTTAAAATGTGCAATCAAATGCAATTAACCACAAACACAGTGTTAAGTTACCATCACCACTATTTTTCCCAGAAAATTTTTATCATTTTAAACTGAAACTTTGTATAATTGAAACTATAATAACTCCCTATATTTTCCACCCTAGACCTTGATCATCTCTACTCTGTCTCTGTGAATTTGCCTATTCTTGATGTTTCATATAAATGGAATTATATATATATGTTCTTTAGTTTCTGACATATTTCACTTAGCATAAATGTTTCCAAAGTCCATGCATCTTCCAGCGGATGTCAGAGCTTCATTCCTCTTTATGGCAGATTAACATTCTGTTGTGTGTGTGACCACATTTGTTTATTCGTGTGCTGATGAACACTTGGATTGTTTTATATTTTATCTTTTGTGAGTAATGCTACAATCAACATTCCCATGCGAGTACCTGTTTCAGTCCCTGGATTCAATTCTTTGGGTATATACCTAGGAATAGATGCTGTTTCACATGGGAATTCTATGATTAGCTTCTTGAGGAACAGCACAACTATTTCTCCTAGTGGCTGCACAGTTTTACAATCTCACCAGCAATGTATGAGGATTCCAAATTCTACATAAGGCTTTCAATTGTTATTTAACATTTGAAAAGAATGGTAGCCATATTTGTAGGTTTAGTGTGGGATCCCATAGTGGCTTTGACTTTGTATTTTCCTAATGACTAATGATGTTGAGTTTCTTTTCATGTCCCTCTTGATAATTTGCATATCTTCTTTGAAGAAATGTCTATTTGCGTCCTTTGCCCATTCATATAAATTGGAAGGTTTCTCTCTTTGTTACTGAGTTGTAGCAGTTCTTTATATATTCTGGGCATGAAAACATTGTCTATGTGATTTACAACTGTTGTGTCTCATTCTGTGTTTGGTTTTTTATTTTCTTGATAATATCCTTTGATGCACAAAAAGCTTGCATTTTTAGCCCAGTTTATCTATTTTTCCTTTTTCTTTCTCATGCATTTGGGTCATACCTGAGAATCCATTGCACATTTGAGATCATTAAGTTTCACCCCTATGTCTTTTTCTAAGATGTTCTTATGGTTACAGATTTTATAATTAACTCACTCATCCACTTTAAGATAATTGTTTGATATGGTTGGAAGTATAGTTCTCTAAGTTTATTGTTTTGCATGTGGTTATCTAGTTGTTTGTGCACCATTATTTGAGAGGATGATTGTTCCTCCATTAAATTATCTTGACACCCTTATTCAAGAGAAATGACCTATAAGGGTGTTTATTTCAAGACTCTCAATTCTATCCCTTTGGTCCCTATTTGTATTCCTATGCCAGCAGTTTCTGTTTTTAGTACTTGTAATGTTTTGTGAGATTTCAAATAAGAAAGTTCAAGTTCTGCAATTTATTTTGGCAAAATTGTTTTGGCTCTTTCAGGGGTACTTTTTTAACAGCAAGGAGGCCAATGTTTTGCAACTGGAAAGCTTTTTCTGTCGTATTTCAGAGGGGAAATTTGCAGTCTAGGGATCTTTCCAGGAACTTTATCACAGGTAGGTAAATTATCACCACTTCCTTTGCTGAGGTACTGGGTTAAAATGTGTGTTGCCTCCCATTGAGAAATTGAGAGGCCCTAGAAGCACTTGCCTATGTGGTGAGAGATACCGAGCTCCTTAATGAGGGACACCGAAGACATTGCTTTGGGACACAATGCTGTCAGGGGAGCAGTGTGCCTACTTATTTATTTTTTTGTGCAGTTTAGATCTCTACTGGACAAAAGATATTGAAATCGTTGTTCATTCTCTTGGTTCTTGTTTGGCTGACCTGTCAGCTGGAGCTGGAGGACATGCTTGGAAGGGAAGTGACCCCCATGGGAAAGAGCAGGGCTCAGCAGAGTGAAAGCAGCTGGGACCCAGAGAAGCCAGTGAGGTCTGACTCTTAAAAGCCAAAGACCAACAGGTGGGTGTCCTCAGGGGCAAATGGATTGCACTGGTACCCATTCAAGCGGACTGGAGAAAGGTAAGAGGCTTTGGATATTCCATTTTCTCTCTCAGCTCTTCAGCAGGAGATT